ATACCCTTTTATGGAATTCCCCGCTCTGATACCCTTTTATGGAATTCCCCGCTCTGATACCCTTTTATGGAATTCCCCGCTCTGATACCCTTTTATGGAATTCCCCTCTCTGAGGGAGGGACTGAGCACTCTCGCCTGAACTGGAGAATATATAAACTGGGAGTTTCGGAACCTTAACCACCACTCGTGGGATCCAGAGGAAGACTGCAGACCACCGCTCTCAACCAGACTGAGACCACCACCCTCAACTGGACTGCAATCACCACTTCTGACCAGACTGCAGCAGCTCTCCCACCAGCAGGTTTTTCCCCTCTCCCTTTACTTTGGACTCGGGGGGGGCCAAGGAACACCACTTTTGTTCATGCCCCAGGGTGCTGGGTTATACATTTGGGTTTTGCGGGTTAAAACCAATTGTCTGTCTGTATAATTGTACTTATTGCATTATTTTAATAAATTGTTATTCTGACTTATAATCTCTCTTTTGAGTTGAGTTCATTTCCCCTGCTGGTTAACTTTTAAACCAGCACAACAGTCCAGCTCGCTGCATCACGTTCCTCTGAACCTCAAGGAATGAAGCATTTTCCTTACCATTGTGAAGTGTTCTGTAAGCTGCTAAACAAAAAAAAGAAAAAAACAAGCTTATGAGACCTCAGAATTTATGAACTTTCCTTCCTGGTCAAAAAGCAGCCAATGCTTCATCAACCTGTACTGACACTTCTGCAGCTCCCTGGCCACACGAGTGGCCCTTTGCATGTGCTGACTTGCTTCACCCCCACAGGCTGAACCTCTAGAAAGTACCAAGTCCTCAGAGAGACAAACTGAGCCACTCTTTCCTCAGCAACCCAGCCCTGCAAAGCTGAAGCAAGTCCACACTCAGAGAGACCAAGATTTTACATGAGCCAGCTCTCCTGCCCACACAGAAAGCAGGCTCACTTGCAGGTCAGTAACCAATCATTTCTTCCACCTAGATTATGCCTCTATTTAGGAAAAACCCCACTCTACTGCTACTTTCCCCTATTATGTGACATTATTAACTGCTTTACTTACCCTACCTCTAGCATTTTCCTTTCAATCAGCATTATAGTTTCCAATTCATGTGGCGTGCGGGTGACTACAACTCAGAGACATTTCTGATGAGGAACAATCAGAACAACTTAAGACAAGTCTTAAGACTACCACATGATTATGGCAATATTTATCAACATGTAACCTTTCCCAGAAGCTCAGGAAAAGCAGAGGGCCTGTTCTTACATGTACTAACCTGGGAAGCAGTTCATCTGCTCTGTGTTGGATGGGCGGCTCCAATACATTGGAAGGAAGGACTGCAGGTATGAGCTGTGCTTGCTTCTTCCACACACGCCAGCTTACACACATCAACTCTGTGCAGGAGAGTAACGCCAACACGATTGTGATGGCAAGTTCTAATGGGAACACCAGCATTAATTCCCATCTGTCTAAGCAACTGGCAGTGTCCATCAATTACGGCAAGAGCCAACTAACAGTTGCAGCTGCAAAATAAAAAGAGCAGAATTAACATTTCAAGTTTCTGTCATTCACCTGAATTTTTTACAGTTGTAATTAGCAAGCTGCAGAAGCTGTCAACAATCAACATCAGCCAATCTGTCTGCACCAGGAACCCGACTACATGCCAGAAATTGTCTTCGACAGGTTTTTTTTCCCCCTTGCTTCCCTCCATTAGAATTTTCCCTTCAACTCCCCCACAACACTCATCTCTTTTACCATCAGTCACTAGAATTGAACTTGTCAAAACAGCGAGAGACAGAATGACTGACACTTAACTGATAAAGTCATAATTATTTCCTTTCTCCAAACCTCAGTATCAAAACATGCTGCTCTCTCCCCAGGCCTTTGCTTCCCTACCAGTACAGGAGCAATTTTGCAGCCCCTTCCCAAAAATGCAACCCTTACCCAACCCCGAACATTTCTTTCTGGGGGATACTGAGAAATTAAAAGAAGCTTTCCAGCTGAAGGCCTGCTCTTTCATGAGCTGGTGCAACTGGTTTCCCAACCTGCAGCAGAAGACCTTGTTACAACATCCACCTGCTCCGTTTACCCACAAACACCCAAACAACCAGT